AATTACGTGTTTTGTACGTGAATCTTCAAGAATTCAGATGAGGCTATGTCGGCTGAAATTATGAGGCCATGTAGGGTGAAAAATATCTGGATTGATATTTCGGCAAGTGTACATTATTTCTTGTTGGAAATAGAGTATTCTTCAAAAATTTGCAACCTGATTCAATATTCACGTACTTAATTACGTGTTTTGTAAGTGAATCTTAAAGAATTCCTATGAGGCTATGTCGGTTGAAACAATTGAAAACTGTATTTTTTCACCTGTAGTTAAAAAAAGGACCACCGTTTTGTGAAGTGGCTTAGGGGTTAGAAATTCAAATTATGAACAACAATTATGCCAATAAATTCGACAGGATACGATAAAATCTTATTAAAATTTGAAATTTCACTTAACTGCGGAAAATCGAGTTACAGTGCTGAAAAGCAAGCTGACTCTGCAGCAGGCACATGATGGTGCGCGAAAAGCAGAGAGGACTGGATATATTTCTTGTTCGGAGCCGCACGAATTGGGTAGGGGCAATGGAACCAGGTATGCATCCTATATGGTTTATGCCATTAAATTTTTGCAAATATAAACACATACTTACGTCTGATTCAAAAGACGATGACTATCCACAACATAGACCGACGCAGCCGGCTGATTCGCTAACGCTACCCAAATACTATAGTAAGCCTATTTGTGACCTATATTTTGTGGGCCTTGCATAGAGGCCAATGTGCCACATCTGCTCTTATCCACTTAGAGTAGCCTAACCTACACAACCAACTTTTATTATTTATTACTTAAGGCTGTCTATGGAGATGTCGACGTCCACTTCCTTGTCATCTGTGGAAACTCAGTGTTGCCGATAATAATAATAATGCAACGGTGGTGATGACCCTTCAGGTATCAACTGTAAACGTACGGTTAGTGTCCCTTGACTAAGTCCATTCAAGTCCTGACAATCCGATAGGAAAAAATGAAGACTTTGCGGCCGAGCAAGTGCTTGCTTTCAACAGCAGGCGCAACAAATGCAGGCAACGGCGTCGAATGTCGCTTGTATATGGGAGAGGAATACAACACTCACCAATGTAACGTCTTCATTCCTGAACTGTGCACGGTGGATGGCTATGAAAACTTCCTTCACAGACGAGGCGCTGTGTGCATATTGATTTCGCAATTTTCAGATCGAGCATCTGACGGTATTCGAAAGTCAATCTGAGGCAAAGCTTATTCGAAATTTGCTGGATGCCATACTACGCCTGTCGCTTTGCGTACTTTCTGCTGGGCTGGGGGATGAAAGGAAAAGAGCTCACTCATTGGTAAAGGAGACAAATGGTTGAACACTGGAACGAAATTTATTTCTTCCTGAGCTTTCGAGCTCCTACAAGAGCCCATCGTCCGAATAGGAGAAACAGCAACAACAACAAGCTCACTCATTGCTTCATCTTTGTTTCCGATCCCCAGAGGTAGGTCCAATTTAAATAGAGTGACTTGCACACATTTCATGAGACAAACAGAATAGGCGGTATGGTAACTGCAGTATTGCTTCAGTACGACAAATGGCCGGAAATTGGTTCCATGAGTCGAAGGGCCGTTATGGAGGGCAGTCGAAACGCGGGTGCGACATCCATCAGCTACAACGTGCGTCCTTGAATTATCGACCACATGCATTTAGGTTGCAAGTATCCTCACCGACGACTCTGCATACACACAAATATCCCCGGCCAAGAAGGTGGTAAATTAACTTATAAAATTTTTATATGTATATTAATATTGTGTATTTATATATAACTATAATAGGTGATAACTGCTATTTAAAATTATCTTTTCTTCAATACGCTAGTCTTACAATGTTTTCGTCGAATGCAGCAACTGGCAGTGGCCAATGGAATTGAGCCCTCTCCTTTGATTCGAAAACTATAACTTCCCTTGAAAGATGACTGGAGTTTTGTGCAAATATTTCCAAAGAAACTTTAAATCACATCTACTTAATAAACTGTTTACTTTTATCTTTATTTCACTTCCTTTTTATGCGTCGCTGGAGTTACACTTATTCGCTTAAACGTCGTTGCAGGTATACTTATTCGCTTATGCGTCGCCGGTGTTGACGTAAGGGGGGGGATCGATACGCTTCACAAACTACGATAACCGACAACCTCAAGGACTACTCGCGGTTACGAAACCTAACTATGGCAAAGCACTATCAAACATCTTGAATACGGAATGCCAGTTTGGACACCGTGGTTGAAGATATTGTACTTCTTGAACAA